TTGAATTATATTGTTATTGACTTTTTTTTTTTAACTGGTTCATTTCCGATAGCTAAGTATTCTTGCACGTGATTAATGTAAATGTAATGTAACGGTAACGGTAATAGTTTTTAAAATTTGTGGCACTGCAGAATTACATCACATGTTAATATGTTTGACGAACATAATTTGTAACGATAAGATGCGTTCCACAGCCACAGTAAGATTGTAAGCGCGATAAAGAAGCCGTTCGTTGTTCCTTGATCTTTGAACAGGGAAAAGAATGGATGACAGGAAACCAAACACACCTTCGAATTCAGACGAAAATACCGAAACGTATCCGAAACTTCCCTCGCCAGTTGTTGCAAGAAGCTACCATGCTCTTAACGGCTCTAACATTACTTCTCCCCAGATTGCTTCCCTCCGTTTAAAACCAACAAAAAGTACCGATTCCCTCACAAATCATCCTTTGCAGAATTTTGACGAAGAAGAAAGTGAAACGTATTCTACCTGGTCGAGTCAACTAATTAGAAGATCTCCGTCGTCGTCTTCAACTTCGTCTTCGTCTTCCCTACAACCAAGATTTTCTTCCCCTCCTCCCGTACCGGGTGGCTCAGTAGGCGGTCTGATGCTCACAAAGCTTCGTGAAATGAATGCGGACTTTTCAGGCATTGTGCAAATGTTGATTGCTAAAAAGGTTGGAGACTGCATGTCTTTTGACTTTTGATGGGACCCTGCACCTAGTATGTATTTGTAGCATTAGTTTGACAATTCCTTCCAACATGTATCTTTTTGGTTGACACCACCCCATACAATTTTCACTCTGGATTGGGCTATCTCAGGCAACACTCTTACTCCCTGCGTCTCATGTAATGCCATTCGAGCAAATTGATCTAGCTCTTCTCGAAGATCATGTAATTGTCTCTCAACCAAACGATGATGGTCATAAAGTAATAACTTTGAATGGTATTACAGGTTTTATTCTACAGTAAGTAAATTATATGTAAATTATCTAACTCTAATTGTTACCAATTAAAATTTCAATCTCTCAAATAATTCTCAAATAAATCTCAATCAAATAATTTAGGGATACATTAAAGTTGGTTGGTTTAGTACCATCCGAACCTGATATTTCTACATATATTAAAGAAAATTCAAAGACTCGCAAGTTAGTTTTTCTGCATTCTTTCCCTTTCCTTATACCGTCCATTCCGCTGGCAAATTTGCCTACATTAATTTCTATGATTTTATATACATATTTATTTATATATATTTGTATTAAATATGATTTCTTTAGATCAATTTTTGACTCAATTTTAAAACCTGCCGATGTATCTTATGATTGTCCATCAATCAAAATTATCAATAAAGACGCTGATATTCTTTTACAAGGCATGACAATTCAAACAATAGTTATTGAATCACCTTTACGATCAAAAGAAATTGCAGATCGTATTTCTGCACTTAAGACACGTAAAACAATAGAGCGTAAAGTTGAAAGTATTAATTTACCGGAGAATTTTTCAAAAGAAGTTACTGGGTATATATTGTTATTCTAAGTGATTAATTATTTATACAATTTATTTTGCTCCTTTTTTTAAAAATAAATCTGTCAATTTTATATTTTAGTTTTACCGAGGAATATATTAAACTATCTCCACAAGATGAAAATACTTCATGTGATAAAATTCAAGGTCTTTTTGATAGTATACGTTATCAACTTGAATCACAAGTGGAATCACATGAAGAAAAAGAGGATGATAATGAAAATGAAATAGATCAATCTATTAATCTTGTTGAAAAATATGTATGCACTGCACTTTATGATCAGTATGTATTAAATTTTATATTAAATTTTATATTAAATTGTTATATTAAATGTGACGGCTGATGCTGAAGTTTGGCTGATGTTGAAGCTAAAAAATCTGATTGGTTAGGGTTAGGGTGATCTGCAAAATTTAGCCAATCAGATTTTTTAGCTTCAACATCAGCCAAACTTCAGCATCAGCCGTAACATTAAATTTTTATATTAAATTTTATATTAAATTGTTATATTAAATTTTTATATTAAAATTTTATGTAAATTTTTATATTAAATTTTATTTAAATTTTTATATTAAATTTTATATTAACCTTTATTACGATATCAACTTTTAATAATTATATATTTTTTTAAAGCATATTTTGTCCAAAGTGGTCTGATGATGGTTCGGCGGATGATACTTTAGGATCAAAAATCGCTGCTTTAAATTTCTATAAGTTAGGACTTTCACATCTTGGTGTTGTTAATCCGCAACAAGAACAGATAGATGTTGCTGTTCAAACGGCGGGAAAAGAGTTACAAAATTTGGGTCGAATGAAGGCACCATATGAGAAACTCGACATCATTATTAAGTGCCATAGGATTGTGGTTGGTAAGGTTACAAAATTTTTTCGCCTTTTTACGCTTTATTTCACTTTTAAACTTTTTACACTTTGTTTTTTGCTTATAATAACAACCCTAATTCATTTTTAGATGCTCTTGAGAAAAAATTACAAACATCTCCAAGCAGTTCAAATGAGTCTAATGATACAATAAACACTGCTCAAGACGTACCTAAAGACGTACCTACAGTGCCGTTACCAAATATCTTACCACAAACATCCGATTCATCTGCACAGGTTCCTCCTCCGATACCTTCACCTACATCTCTCACATCTTCAGCACCAAGCTCACCAAAATCGCCAACCTTTCCATCCGAAGAAAGGACTAATAACCCTAATGCGGATGCAATATTTCCCTTATTGATCTATATCGTTGTTAAATCTAATCCTAAACAATTGATTTCAAATTTGAGGTTATTATTAAGAACAAGAGAAAATTTCTATCTTGAACATTGTGTTTCTACAACAAATTTTTACATTTAATATTTATATATTTTTCTAACAGATTCATGCAAAGGTACCGAGCACGGGGTTTGCTGCGTGCAGAAGTTTCTTATTGTCTAACAAATCTTGTACGATTAATTTATTTCAATCAATAATTTCGTATGTTTAATATAAGATGTATTAAAATATAATTACCTGTATTTTAGCTAGCGATTGTTGAATTTTTGGGAAAAATGGATCTTAATGAGTTAGGATTGCCATCTGATAAGTCTTTGAGGTATTTTATCTTGAGATTCATCTGTGTTTTGTAACATTTAAAAGGATTGAATTATAAGAAAATTTATTTTCAACATTTCTAGTGAACAAATACCTTCAGTCCCAACCACACCAACGGTCATAGAACAGAGGGTCAGTCGCAGAGTCGGACAGGAAATTGTTGGCGTGGCTGACAGTGGTCTTAAAGTTATCACGGGAGTTGTAGATACTTCATACAAGATGATCGGTCGTGTTTTTGGATATAATGAGTACTCTACTGCGAATGCCACATCAACATCAACAGTAGACATTGAAAAAGAACATAATGTGATACCAAACACTGCCAATTCTATGACACATTCAAAAGATGTCAGTGGTATAAATACTGACCCACCAGCAAAAATTATAGAGAAGGAATTGGCAGAAATTAGCCCTGATAAACATAACTTTGAAAAGAACAAAACTGGTGGAAATTCTCAAATTGATGAGCCTAAATCTTTGTAAATATGATGTTGTTATATGTTTATCGTCGATTCTTAATATCAATTCTTAATATCGATTTTTAATAAATTTTTATAAATGTTGATAAATTAAATTATAGGACTGGACGTTTACTTCCTTTTAACATACTTCCACGATTCAGTAGTGGTGGCACTTATCCGGAAGAGGTAAAATTCATATTTAAACAAACTTTTATGTATTATGACAATTTAAACAAAAAAAATTTGTTATTATTATTTTGTGTAGGAACATAAAGAACATAAAGATGATAAAGAAAATATAAAAGAAAATAAAGTAGAAAGTCAAGAGAATAAAGGAGCAAGTGATCAACATCTTTGTAAGATAGCACCACCTATTAAACGATTTTTAGATTGCCCAGACGATGAATTTCGTGCAAAGGATGTGCAAGGTTCGCAACTAACCATATACATTGTTGTATATTGTTAATTCTATTATTTTTTCAAAAACTTACAATTTATATAATTATTAGAGCTTTTGTCTGATTATAAACGATTGTCGGCTGCTATTCAGGAACTTGGTCTTTTTTCATCTTGATTATTTCTAATACAGTACATAAATAAATTATTACATATATTTGCAAATTTCGCGGTT